GCTATTTGTGGCACCAATTATTTATTCAGGATCAAAACCTCTGGCAAAGCCTCTTGGTTTGTCAGTGGCATCTCTTTTCTTCTTTTACTTGCTATCATCAGATTCACTGTCAGATAAAGATTTTCTTTTGGTACCATCTTTTTCTTTACCAGTTTTTTGAGAATTAAGAAATGCTTCAATTAACTCTGGCAATCTAAATTTTCTTCAGGTTTTCAAGTATTGTCAGCAACTATAAATCCCTTTCACTTCAGGAAATATTCCACTTTTCCATTAACTACACATCAGTCTAATACTTTTTCTACCATAAATTCTTTAGGCTCTGCCTCTTCAACTTTTTTACTCTTTTCATTTCTGTTTTGTTCCCATATTTTGCAATGTAGTTTTATTGGAGGCCATTTTTWAAAAAAAATTTTAGTTGTAGATGGACACAATACCTTTATTTTATTTATTTATTTTTATATGGTGCTGAGGATCGAACCCTCTGATGTTACAGGTCGTGGTTCTGCAGGCTCTCTAGCCCGCATGCCTCAAGCTCCAATCACATCCTGGAACACAGCCACTCTCAATTTATTGTCTTTGGCTGCTTTTGCACAATGGCAGAGTCAGTTTCCCAGTGACCATTTGGCCTGTGGGCCTAAAACATTTAGTCTCTGGTCCTTTATAGAAGTTGCTAAATCATGAATCTCCACTAGCAAGAGGGCCTTCAGTAGGTGGTCCCTCTCATCCTCATATCTCTCAGCTTCCAGAACCATAAGCTGAATAAACCTTTATCAAAAATTTTTTTTTTTTTTGGTACTGGGGATTGAACCCAGGAGTGCTTACCCACTGAGCCACATCCTCAGCTCTTTTTTTGAGATAGGGTCTCATTAATGGCAACTAGGGCCTTGCTAAATTGCTGAGGCTGGCCTCAAACTTATGATTCTCCTGCCTCAGCCTCTGGAGTTGTTGGGATTACAGGCATGTGCCATCATGTCTGGCTAAACCTTTATTCTTTATAAAGTACCCAGTCTGTTGGACATGGTGGCACATACCTGTATTCCAATTTCTGGAAAGGCTGAGGAAGGAAGATTGAAAGTTCGAGGCCAGCTTTGGTTATTTAGTGAGACCCTGTCTCATAACAACATTTTAAAAAAGGCTGGGGATGTGGGGTTTGATTGTGGCTCAGCGGTAGAGTGCTTGCTTAGCACGTGTGAGGCCCTGGGTTCGATCCTCAGCACCACATAAAAACAAAATAAAGTTATTGTGTGCAACTACAACAGATCAGCCCCAGCAATTTAGCAAGACCCTGTCACAAAATAAAAAGTGCTGGGGATGTAGCTCAATGGTTCAATTCCCAGTACCCTTCCTCAAAAGAATGGGGCATGGTGGCACACACGGCTGTAATCCCAGGGAATTAGGAGGCTGAGAGTTGGTACCACTTACTGAAACAGATTATTAGCAAATGAAATAACAATAAAAAAAACCTCAGAAGTTTGCTAGGTCTTAGTCTTGCTACAGAGGGACCAGGGATAGAAGACAGAAAGAGCTGATGACATCAAAGTTTTTTTTTTTTTTTTCCCCCTGTGTGTTTGTGTGTATGAGATATTGGGGATTGAACCCAGGCTTCACACATGCTAGGTAAGTGCTCTAACCACTGAGCTACAACCCCAGGCCTTTTCATTTCTTTCATGTCTTGTTAAATTGCTCAGGCTCATCTTGAACTTGTGATTCTCCTTCCTCAGCCTCCTGGGTTGCTGGGATTACAGGAGGATTATAGGTAAAAGGATTTCTAAATGTGGCTTCAAGTACCAAGACTCAACAAATAGAATCCCCTCCATCAACTCTTTCAAAATAATTATGTAGGAGACAGACTTTGGTTAAAAAACAGCTTCACATTTTATTTTATGGAATATGCTCATTTGTTAAGTTGAAGGCATGGAGGATACTATCTGTTCTGATACATATTCTGAAAAAAAGTCCCCATCCCAAGATGATACCAAGATAAGCATTTTCAATGACTGGCTCATCAACATGTATATGATATATTTCATTCACCATAATTGAAAATACTTAACAACATTTATAATTTTAAAAATTCTGTAGAAAGGCTTGTGGAAGATTTTTACTAAACAGGTGTAGTGTATACTTAAAATTACATATTTACAAAAAAGAAGTTAAGAAAAATGAAAATCTCTGCTATATTTTTTTCTTGCCACTTGAGTTAAACTCAGGTTTCCTTTCCTAAACAATGTGGAAAAGACCCCTGTGGAAATCAAAATCTGTCTTGTGGATCCCATCTGGCAAGAAAGATGAGTTTATTGATATTGACTGGGGTGCCAAAGTCTGCTCCATAATTAGCCCCAGCCATGGCACCTTTTGCATGTCTAATCCAAAAGGTAGGATTCTTTCTTTTTGATCACAATCATAAAGATCTATCATAAAGATAGATTCTGGAGCCTCCTCAGGTCTTCCTTTGTTCTCTGTGAAAATACAAACAACTCCACTTTATAAGTAGCATCAGCAACCAGTCCTTCATGGGGTAGGGAGTAGGTGAAGACTTAGCAAGAAGCAGCAGCCAGCTGTCAACAGCATAGGGACAGTCCCTCAGGAAAAGCCTTTAGAACAAGAGGTTCTGAACAAGAACAGGCCCTCTAATGTGAGGAAAACAGATAAAGCAAAAGTGTAGAATCCCCCATATCAAAAAAAGGAAGGGGAATGATTGGTTTCATTACCCTAACAAAAGAGAAGATTGAGGAAATGTTACTTTGCTTCAACTAAGATGAATCACTTATTCCACAATGCAAATGGAAGTCTGTTGATGAGAATGTTTACATATGTATTTATTTTTTGTGGTACTGAGGATTGAACTCAGAGGCCCTCTTCCACAGATCACACCTCAGTCCCTTTTTATTTTGAAATAGGGTCTTGCTGGCCTTGAACCTGCAATCCTCCTTCCTCAGTCTCCCAAGTCACTGGGATTATAGGCATGCACCACTGTGTATTTATTTAAAACAACAAAAATACTTAAATCTGAGGTATAATGGTTAAAATCTCCACAACTCTGTGCCTGATGGTGATAAAGAAAAACATTATGATAGGAAGGTGTTAGAGGAAAAAAAATCAGAAACCATTAGGAGGTATTAAATATACAAAAGCTGGTCTGCATTTTTTAAATGAAAAACATTTTTTTCCCCCAACAGCACTGGGGATCAATTCTGGGGCCTCTCATGCTAGACAAACACTCTAACTCTCAGCTACATCTCCAGCCAGGCTGCCACTATTTTTAGGAAGGTTTTAATGTGTGGGATGAAACTTTTACAAATTGCTATACAGATGCTAGTTGTGGGCTGAGGATGTAGCTCAGTTGGAAAGTGTTTGCCTAACATTCATGAGGCTCTAGGTTCAATCCCCAATATTGTTAAAAAAAAAATCAAAATAAAAATCCAAAACCAAACAAAAAAACTAATGCACTGTTACACTTTTTTCTTTGTTTTTGTAGTGTCAGAAATTGAATCCAGGGCCACATATGTGCTAGGCAAGTGCCCTACCACTGAGCTATAATCCTAGCCCTGTAGCAAGTACTTTAAGGAAGCTTCCTTTGCTTTGTGGGACATTCATTTATAGACTATAGACTTTAAAGGAAAGCATCATGAGATGCCACAGGATCCACAGGCTGGTGCCACATTTTAAGTGGGAAGGCACTGTTACTTCAAGTTTCTGACCTTACTATTAAAATCAGTACTTTTTACCATCTTTGAAATATTTTAATTGTTTTTTAAAAAGATAAGGGTGAGCTGGGAATGTAGCTCATACCCAGCTTTATATTTTTTCCTAGCCAAATCCTTCTATACAAGGTCAGCATCATTTGTGGAATTTTATTCCTAAAACTGGGTGACAGAGAACCAACGCAATGATTCAAATGTCACCTTGCAGGAAGTAACAGAAGAGTGGTTGAGAGTCTTGGATGACTCCAGGCATCAAATAAACACTCTGCTATGCTGAGGACTTGGCAATGGTGATTCCCCAGTGGGGTGAAGGGCTCAGTGGAATAAGACCACTGGTAGCCCATATGTATGTTATTCTATTTCCATAAATTCTACAGACACCTTGGGTCAGTCAGCAAGGTGTCCTTGAGCCAATGGAGAATCTGTTTCCAACCACAGATGGAGAATGTAAGAGTAGGTAGGAGCCAATTCCTCCAATTCGCTGCCCATTCCAGGCATCACCTTGAACAATGCCGGTCTAAAGCCCACCTATTGAAATGTATACCAATGACAGAGCTCAGTAAGAGAACAGGTGACATCTGTCAACAAAAGAGCAAAGAATGTGCCATACTATATGTCTGGATCTAACACTGATATTTTTCTAGGGGGAGGAGAGAATCTAATCACAATGTGCTCAAAATTGGGTGTGTGCAATGACTTCCATTATAAGGGTGTGGGAAGCACCCTCCCCCATGAACACAGGGTTTCTTTCTTTTTTTTTTTTTTTTTTTAATACTTGGGATTGAACTCAGGGGTGCTTTACCACTGAGATATAAACAATAGTCTTTTAATCTTATTTTTTATTTAGGGTCAGGGTCTCACTAAGTTGCTAAGGTTCTCACTAAGTTACTGAGACTGGCCTTGAAATTGGGATCCTCCTGTCTCAGCCTCTCAAGTTGCTAAGAACAGGGTCCCTTACACTCTGACTTATATAAGGCCTAGAAATGAGAAATATAACAAATAGGGAAACACAGGATATGGTTGCCAGACTGAAATTTTGCCCATATCCTCCCATATACTGATGAAAGTAAGAAATGAAACTTTTTCTTCTACTTTGAGGATGGTAATCAAAGGCCAAAGATATTCAGGGCTAGACTACTGTGCTCAAACTAAAAACTCTGTTATTTAGCTGAAAGAATTTAAGGCAGGTGTTGGCTCTTAAAAAAAAAATAGGACACATTTCTTCATCTCAACAAAAATCTCTTATGACCCATTCTGTTATAACATTTGTAAACACACATTAAATTACATACTAAGTAATACATGAAATTTCTTGAGAATTTAAAACAAGATCTTTCCAATCTTTTCATCACAATGGAATGGAACACTTTCTCTATCTTTAGAGTTGTCGAACTTTTTTTTCTGTGGTTTTTATATTGATATCTAACTTGTCCACTTTAGTTGTTAGTCGGTCAAGAATGTCATCTTGCTCCTCAATTTCTGTCTGCATCCCCAGGGCTATGTCCTTGAGACGGCCTAGTCCCATGGACAGTTCATCTGTGAGAGAAGGAAATAATAAGCAGGCCTGAGCAAATGCAGTCACAGTACTTGGAAATGCTTCTAAGTCCCTCCCAGGTGCTTAGCAACATCTGGATTGTCGAGTCCTCTTTCTCCTAAAACAGTCTAAGCTCCAGGAAGTTGGTTATATACTCCAAACATGTCCAGGTGAGGAAAAAAAAATCTGTTTACTCAATAAAAAGTGTTTACATAGAAACCACCTCCCTCTCTTCCAAGATAACAACTGTTAATATATTTTGTTTTCCAAAAAGTATTTTTTTGGGGTACTCAGGACCTAACACAGGGGTGCTCTACCACTTAGCTACATCCCCAGTCCTTTATATTTTATTTATTTTTTGCTACTGAGAATTGAAATTAGGGGCCTAAGGAGCTTTATAATTAAGCTACATATCTAGTCTTTTTGAGACAGAGTCTTGCTAAGTTGCTTAGGGCCTTGCTAAATTTCTAAGGCTGGCCTTGAACTTATGGTCCTCCTGCCTCAGCCTCCCAAATTGCTGGGATTATAGGTGTGCTTATTGTATATGGCTATTTTTTTGGTTTTGTTTCAGAAAGGGTCTCCCTAAATTGCTGAGACTGGCCTTTATGTGATTCTTCTGTCTCAATCTCCTAAAATGCTAGGATTACAGGTATGGGCCACTGGGCTCAGCTAACTTAATCCAGAGGCACTTAACCACTGAGCACCATCCCAGTCCCTTTTATTATTTTTTCATTTTGAGGCAAGATGTCACTAAATTGTTTAGAGCCTGTTTTCAAACTTGTGATCTTCCTGCCTCAGCCTCTAGAGCCACTAGGATTACAGACGTGTGCCACTGTGCGTGGCCTTACATTCACTTTTTTTTTTTTTTTTTTAAAGAGAGAGTGAGAGAGGGGAGAGAGAGAGAGAGAGAGAAAGAGAGAGAGAGAGAATTTTTAATATTTATTTTTTAGTTCTTGGCGGACACAACGTCTTTGTTGGTATGCGGTGCTGAGGATCGAACCCGGGCCGCACGCATGCCAGGCGAGCGCGCTACCGCTTGAGCCACATCCCCAGCCCTACATTCACTTTTTTAAAAAATATTTTTTGTAGATGGACAGAATACCTTTGTTTTATTTATTTTTATGTGGTGCAGTTCCTTCATGCATGCTAGGCAAGCGCTCTGCCACTGAGCCACAACCCCAGCCCTTAACATTCACTTTTAAAATGGACAATGTTTAGGGGCTGGGGATGTGGCTCAAGTGGTAGCCCGCTCACCTGGCATGCATGCGGCCCGGGTTCGATCCTCAGCACCACATACCAACAAAGATGTTGTGTACGCCGAGAACTAAAAAATAAATATTAAAAATTCTCTCTTTCTCTCTCTCCTCTCTCACTCTCTCTTTAAATGGACAATGTCTATAAGGACATAGCTTAGTAGTGTATAAGATGATATGAAGACAACTGAGGACAGGGCTGAGGGGCAGACATGCCAAGGAATTCTAGTTTCCCCTGGTAGCTCTGCACCAACTGCAGAGATAAGTGTTAACTGGTTCTGCTGGAAGATTGTAAAGTGTCTTTCCTAGGTTTGTGATAGTGTGTGTGCATGTGCATTGGGGTGGAGAACTCACCCAGGGCTGCTACTGTGAATAGCAGGCTAGGAAAGAGCTGGAAGTAAGAGAGAAGAGATGGTGCTTTGTTAACCCTCCTTTGAAAAATTAAAGATTAAGTATTAAGAGGTCAGCACACACAAGTACTTAGCAGTAACATTAAAAAAAAAAATCAGTTTTTTTCCCCCCAAACACTCTCGGCTCTATTCTTCTTGAGATCCCAGAAACCCATGATTTGTTTTCCATGGACAGTAAAACCTGTATGGTCACCCCAGGCCTCAGAAAGTTTCTTGGAATCTGGTACTGCTAAGGACAGGCAAACAGGTAGGCTGAGGCCAAAAGTATGGCAAAGTAGCTGGGCATAGTGGTGTATGCCTGTATCCCAGTGACTTGGGAAATTGAGGTAGGAGGATCACAAGTTCAGGGTCAGCCTGGGGAACTCAGTGAAAACCTGTCTCAAAATTAAATAAATAAATAAGTAAATGGGCTGGGAATATAGTTCTGTGGTAAATACTCCTGGATTTAAGGGAGGAAGAAGTATGGTAAAACAAAGCTACCAGGCAATAAGTCAAAGGGCAAGAGTTCCTGAAATGGGAGGAAGGTGTGGTAAGGAAAGAGTGTAAACAAAAGTGCCTGTATAGCCTGTGTCAGCAGGGACAGCTGGCCAGAGGAGCCAGTTGCCCACTTGGGCCTTGGTTCTTTGTTCTCCATACTTTACGCTGTGGGGACTACCTGGCCACAAGTCCTCAGTGCCTATGTACACCTTCAGTCTCCAGTGGTGGATAACACTCAGTCCTTATCCTGCTCACTCCTTGAATTCAGCATCCTTCCTCAGTTTCCATTCTCCCTGTCCTTGCCAGCAGGTACTGAAGGTACTTTTTCCTGATGAAGGATAAAGAGGCTTTGGAGTACCTTCGGGTACCATGGGGTGATCAAATCTGGGCAGACACATTTTTGGTCTTGGAGAATCTTATTCTGGAGTGCAAGGTCCAAGGACAGAATCAAGAGGTGGCTATCTGGGGGCTGTGGTTGGGGCTCAATGATAGAGCACTTGCCTATCATGTGGGAGGCACTGGGTTTGAACCTCAGCACCACATAAACAAAACAAAACAAACAAACAAAAAAAACAGAGGTGGCTATCTGTCTGGTTCTTTTCTGAACTCTGAGGGTGAAGGAGGGTGGAGTTGAGGGGAGAAGCCTATGGGTATGGAGAGAGCTGCTACTGGTGGGTGGAAAGCAGCTTCTCTGGGGTTGGGACTGTAGCTCAGTGGTAGAGCGCTTGCCTTCTATGGTGAGACACAGGGTTCAATCCTCAGTACCAATAAATAAATAAAGATACTATATGTCCATGTACAACTAAAAAAAAAAAAAGAAAAAAAAGAAAAAAAGAAAAAGAAAACCACTTCCCTAATGGCATAGGTCACAGAGATCTGAAATGACAATAAGCAGGGCATAATGGTTCTTGCTTATAATCCTAGCTGCTGGGGAGGTTAAGGCAGGAAGATTCCCTGAACTCAGGAGTTCAAGTTCAGCCTGGGCAACTCACTAAACAAAAACAGAACAAAAAATTTACATTTTCATCAAAGGTAACATTGGTAAGCTGTGAGTGGCAGAAAAAGTTATTTATTTGCTCTTGTTTATGTCTGTTCTCTAAAATTCATGTCCTTTTTTGCATAAACGTTTCTTTTTTTAAAAAAAAATTTTAAGTTGTAGATGAATACAATATCTTCGTTTTATTTATTTATATGCAGTGCTAGGATTGAACCAGTGACTCATACATGCCAGGCAAGCACTCCACCACTGAGCCACAACACAACCCCAGTTCCACATAAAGATTTCCTTTAATGCTTAACGAGATATTTTCTGACTCTATTTCTACTAATCAAGCTACAAAATGTGGCCAGAATTCTGCTGCATGGGAATGGCTAAATGATTTATGGTAGCAAACATTGAAAATAATGTCGAAGAGAAGGGGATAGAATTTTTTTTTTTTTGGTACTGGGGGTTGAACCCAGTTGCTTAGGGCCTTGCTAAGTTGCTAAGGCTGGCATCAAACTTGTGATCCTCCTGCCTTAGTGGGATTACAGGTGTGCACTATTGTGCCTGATGAGAGTGGAAATTTTATTTTATTTTATTTTTAATTTAAAAAAATTTTTTTAGATGTTGATGGACCTTTATTTTATTCATTTATTTATATGTGGTGCTGAGAATTGAACCCAGTGCTTCTCACATGCTAGGCAAGCGCTCTACCACTGAACCACAGCCCCAGCCCTGAATGGAACTTTTAAAAGTGGTGCTTTTCAAATAAATTTTGTAGTTTAGGAAAGTATTCAAGACATAAGTGAAAAAGCAGGATACAAAAGTAAATACATGGGCTGGGGCTGGGGCTCAGTGGCAGAGCGCTTGCCTAGCATGGGTGAGGCACTGGGTTCAATTCTTAGCACCACATACAAAAATAAGCAAATAAAATAAAAGCATGCTGTCCCTCTACAACTACAAAAAAAAAAAAAAAAAAGTGAATACGGGGGCTGGGGGTGGCTCAGTGGTAAAACACTTATCTAGCATGTGTGAGGCACTGGATTTAAGCCTCAGCACCACATAAAAAATAAATAAAATAAAGGTATTATGTCCATTTACAACTAAAAACATAAAAATAAAAAGTAAATACATTGACATAATGCCAAGTACATCTGATATTATAGATACAGGTGTACATACATACATGAAAAATGGAAGGATTATACCAAATTAGCAAACACTGCCAGACAGGAGGGTATGGGTGTTTTTTTTCTCATGGCACTTATTTACCTAATTTTCTAATAATGAATCAAAAACAAAGGTTAAGTTAGGTGCAGTGGTGCACACTAGTTTCAGCTACTTGGGAGGCAGCAGGAAGATCCTTGAGCCCAGCAATTCAGGGCCAGCCTGAGCAACTTAGCTCTTACTTCTAAAAAAAGAAAAGAAAAAGAAACAAAGTTAAATGTCATTAAGAAGAAAAAGACTGCAGACATCATGTAATCTAAGAAAGAAATGAGGGGAGGGAGGAAGAGAAGAGGAACAGAAATTCATTGTAATGAGAAGTTTTCTGACATATCAGTGTAAGTAGGAAAAAACTAACAAGGAAATAAACAGTTTATATAATACAAAAAAGAGTATTCATTCAACCAATATGACATTTATGTTATAGGATCAGACTGCTGGAATGAACATCACCATAGAAAAACAAGGAAAGGAATCCATTGGTGTTGTCCCCTCATGGGAATGAGCAGGAGAAGCCTATGCATAGATACCCAACACGCATCTTCATGGGTTTCAGTTGTGCCTTCCAGTTTAGAGCAGGGAGAATTTTTATTATTGTCTCACTCACTTTGCCAGTTCCTAATAAGGGCCAGGAGACTGAGAGTAACTCAGATAACTGTGGTGAGGTTCCTGTTTGAGTAGTAAAGGTAAGAGGAGGTAGCATATCTGAGACATATCTTTGAATAAACTCATGTCCATGAGCCAACTCCTGCTGCTTGAGCATGGCTCTCCATTTGGACCTCAAATGACTGACTTCTCTTCTCATTAAAAAAAAAAAAAAAAAAAAAAAAAATTATCATCAAGTGTTCCTACTGGGCCCTGTAAATAAAGTAGTGGTAGAACAGACACATTTGCATGCTCTCCTGAAATTAACTCTGTGGTTCAGAAGACAGCCAATAACTAGCAGAGAGGACCACAAGTAGATGGGCAGGACTATAGAAAATCAGGGCTCTGAGTGATTATAAGAGGAAGTCAAGGGTTGGGGACATAATTCAGTGGTAGAATGCTTGGCTAGCATGTGTGAGCCTCTGTGTTCAATCCCTAGCTTAAAAAAAAAAAAAAAAAAAAAAAAAAAAAGAGAGGAGGCCACAATGAAACAGAACTAGCTGTGTGAGAAGGGGCTAGCCTGAAAGGTCACTCCAGGAAGATGGGCATGTGAGGAAGAAAGGGGAAAAAAGTCCACAGGAGCCAACGGTAGTGAGGGAAAGAGGGGTTGCGGGGAGGAGGCAAGGGCAATAAGCCTGTACTGTGTTCCAAGTGTACAGGGGTATACACCAGAGAGCTTTGGAAGAAGGTACCACCTGATTTCTGTTTTGAAAGATCACTCTGGCAGCAGTGTGGATAATGTGCCAAGTGACTGCCAACTCTTATCAACCCAGGCACTTTCCTAAATGCTCACATTGTCAGTTCATGCAACTCTCCTACTAATCCTCAGGGGCAGCCAGTTTCATAGTGGGAGAAATGGGGCTCCATGTGGCTACATAGGAAGGATGGAGCAAGTAGTTACAGCAAGGCTGTGATGTAGGCCTCACAGGGACTCCTAGGTCCTGCTACTGTCAGGATCCAACCAAGAGGTGGGTACAGGGGCTGGGGTTGTAGCTCAGAGGTAGAGCACTTGACTAGCACTAGTGAAGCACTGGAGTCAATTCTCAGCACAGCATATAAATAAAATAGAGGTCCACTGACAACTAAAAAAAAAAAAAAAGAGGAAGGCATGACTTGGTTGATTGAAAAAATAGAAAAGCAGGAAATAGAAGTGGATAGATTCCGGAGATAGTGAGGTGGTGAGATGAACAGGACCATGTAACACATGGATAAAGAGCAACTAACTGGTGGCTTTGTGTATGCTGGCTGTGCTTGGCATAAGCTACCTGGAAGATAAGTGATTTATAGAGGCTGATGCAGCTCTTGGTCTTACCTAAGTTGCTGTCAATTTTCTGGTGATAGGCTCGAAGGTGTGGGTTCTTTGGGTAAGCCTCTGTATTCACAGCAGAACCAGGCCCTCCAAGGACAGAATCTGATTTAGAAACATCAGAAGAATGGTTAACTGATATCCTATGAAATGCTGCTTCATGAAATTGATCTTTTTATTTTGGTTCTAGGGACTGAAGGAGAGCTCTACTAGTGCACTACATCTCCAGCACCTTTTTATTATTTTCCATATTTTTTATTGGCCCACTATAATTAATACATAAAGATAGGATTTATTACATCTTTGTACACGTACATGATGTAACAATATAATTGGGCCAACATAATTCCCCCAGTATTCCCCCTTTCCCTGGTCCCTTTCTTTATTGACTGCCCTTCGATTTTCATGAGATTCCCCCTCCCACCTTTCTTTTCCTTTGTCCTCTTCTAGCTTTCACATATGAGAGAAAACATAAGACTGACCCTTGACTTTCTGAGTTTTGCTTAATTTGCTTAACATTATGATGTTTCACCCATTTTCTTGTAAATGGGTGAAAAGATTGCTTTTTTTGTTTTTTTTTGTTACTGGGGATTGAACCCAGGGGCGATTAACCACTGTGCCATATCCTCAGCCCTTTTAACATTTTATTTAGAAATAGAGTCTAAGTTTCTTAGGGTCTTGCTAAATTGTGTGTGCCACTGTGGCCAGCCATAATTTAATTCTTTTTGGCTGAAAGAAACTCCATTACTCAGCACCTTTTAAATTTTCATTTTGAGACATGGTATCACTAAGTTGCTTAGGCTGGCCTAGAACTTGTGCTCCTCCTGCCTCAGCCTTCTGAGTCACTGGGGTTATAGCGTATGCTGTCACACCTGGCTTTATTTTTGTAGTGCTAGGGATCAAACACAGGGTCTTGAGCACGGTAGGCAAGTGCTCTATCTCTGAGCTGTTCCTCAATCTCATTACAAAATATATCTTTTATGTTTTCATTATCCTGGGGATTGAACCCAGGGATAACTCTACTACTGAACTATACTTTCAGACCTTTTTATTTTTGAGATAGAGTCTTGTTAAGTTGCCCAAGTTGGTCATAAATGTGTAATCCTCCTGTGTCAACCTCTGGAGTATCTAGGCATACAGGCTTATCCATTGCCTGTGGCATGAAAATGGTCTTAATTCAGCAAATGGCTAGAAGGAATGAAGTAACTGGCTCTGAGGCAATATAGAATGATAGGGGTGGGAATAGATACAACGTATGAGGGAAGGGCCCAAAGCAGTCTCATGGGCTGGGTGTGGTGGTACATGCCCATAATACCAGCTTCTTGGGAGGCTAAGGCCTGAAGTTTGAGATCAACCTGGGCAAGACAGCAAGACCCTGTCTCTCAAAAAACAATCTCCCCCCAACAAGACTCTCAGTCCATGGGTCAACTAGACAAAGCCTGGGTACACAGACTCTAGAAGACACATTCATACTAGTACTGTTGTATGGCAGAGGAACTGCATCAGGGCAAAAATTACACAAGTGCATGGACAAGGTGTAGGCATAGTAGTGTACACCTGTAATCCCAGTGATTCTCAAGGCTGAGGCACAAGAATTCCAAGTCTGAGATTTAGTAGTTTAGTGAGACTCTGTTTCAAAATAAAAAATAAAAAGGCTTGGTGATATAGCTCAGTGGTAATGTACTCCAGGTTCAATCCCTAGTTATCAAAAGGAAAAAAAAAATTTAGGGGTGCTAGGGATTAAACCCAGGGCCTTGTGCATGCTAAGCACACACTCAACCACTGAGCTACACCTCCAGTGCCTTTTAGCTTTTTTATTTTTTAAATTTTATTTTTAAAATATTTTTTAAATTGAAGTTGGATACAATATCTTTATTTATTTTTATGTGGTACTAAGGATCAAACCCAGTGCCTCACACATGTGAGGCGGGCACTCTACAAATGAGCTACAGCCCCAGCCCTTGCCCTCAGCTCCACTTTTAGCTTTTTAAAAATTTTGAGATGGGGTGTTGTTAAATAGCCCACGCTGTCTTCAAATCCCGGGCAGAAGCAATTCTCCTGCCCCCAGTCTCCTGGATAGCTGGGATTACAGGCAAATGCCACTGTGCTCAGAGAGTCAAGGTTTAAAAATAAAAGTTGTAGCCAGTTGCAGTAGTGCATACTTGTAATCCCAGCAACTCAGGAGGCTAAGGCAGGACAATTCCAAGTTCAAGGCGAGTCTGAGTAACTTAGTGAGACCCTGTTTCAAAAATAAAAAGAGATGGGGGTGCTAGAGTTGTGGCTCAGTGGTAGAGCGCTCGCCTAGCATGTGTGAAGCCCTGGGTTCGATCCTCAGCACCACATAAATATAAAATAAATAAAACAAAGGTATTGTATCCAACTACAACTAAAAAATAAATATTAAAAAAAGAATCAAAGTTAAGTTACAGAAATGGGATTATGAATGTTTTTTTGTTCTTTTGCATATTTATTTCTATGCTGTTTTTTTACTTAAAGTAAGCATATAAGAACTGTTAAATGGTGCACATTTGCCCCAAGAAATGTTCCTTAAACTTCAGTCCCTTCTCCTCCAGTCCAAGAAATTGAACTCAGGTACATTTTACCACCCCAGTCATTTCTATTTTTTATTGTGAGACAGGGTCTTTCCAATTGCTGAGGGTCTTGCTAAGTTGCTGGGCTGACCTTAACTTGTGATCATCCTACCTCACCCTCCTGAGTTGTTGGGAATTATAGGTATGTGCCATTGGGCCTGGCTTCCTTCCCCTTCTCCATTTTGCAGTACTGGGGTTGAACCCTGGACTTCACGTATGCTAGGCAAGCACTTTACCACTGAGCTACACCTCTGGCCCTTGAAATTCAATTCCTAAAGGCACACAGAAAAGCCCTGTAACCTTGATTTGCCTCTTTTGGGAGAAATTTCTCTCTCTACAGTACAGTATGGTCATCCTTTTGTATCATAGTGTATTAGAGTTCCAGGATCCTCAACAGATATCTAAAACAAGGGATGTTTTATATAAAATGCCTTATATAAAATGCATATAACCTACTCACATTTCCTTATACTCCTATACTCCTTCCTGCCCTCAAACTGATTGAATCCAGGAGTGTCCATGGAGCTACATTCCCTACCCTTTTTATTTTCAGAGAGGGTCTATTTTTTTTTTTTTGGTACCAGGGATTGAACCTGTGGCTGCTTAACCACTGAGCCACATTCCCAGCCCTTTTTATTTTTTAATTTGAGACAGGGCCTCACTAAGTTGCTTAAGGCCTCGATAAATTGCTGAGGCTGGCTTTGAACTTGCAATCCTCCTGCCTCAGCCCTTGAGGTGCTGGGATTACTGTCATGCCACTGAACCTGGTGAGACAGGATCTTGATAAGTTGACAAGGCTGGCCTCCATTTGTGATCCTCCTGCCTGAGTCTCCCAATTGCTAGAATTACATATGTATGCTACTATACCCAGCTCCTTCTGTATACTTTAAATAATCTCTAGATTACTTATAAAACAATACAATGTAAGTGCTATGTAAATAGTTGTTATGTTGTACTATTTAGAGAGTAATGGCAAGAATTAAAAGTCAGCACGTTTAGTACAGCACAATTTTAAGAATATTTTGGATTGATGATTATTTGAGTGCACAAATTTGGAATTTGCAGATATAGAACCTACAAATATGAAGGGCTGACTGTATTTCCTTTCCTCTAACATCAACCTACTGAAGCCAGTCTACACATATGGTATCCATTTTTTTTCAGTTCCCTTTCAGGTATGGGGTACTATTTTATTTCTTCAGTGTATATTATCCACATGGGTTTTCTTGGATCCTTTGCATTTTAATTTTACCTTCTCTTTCTCTCATGGTTTCTCCCTTTCTAGAATGAATTGTGCCCATATTAGTATGTCCCAACCCAGTCCTTCTTCTATCAGGTCTTTCCTTAGCTATGTCAACTATGACCCTGTATACTCCTATACTCCCTCCTGCCCTCAAACTGATTGAATCCAGGAGTGCCCATGGAGCTACATGGGTTTTAGTGCTGTCAGGATGCATCCTGACTTCCTCAAAAGTGGCATAGTTAGGTACAGTCAGTATTTAAATTCTACCATTATTTTTTAAAATTTTTATTTGTTCTACTTAGTTATATATGACAGCGGAATGCATTTCAATTTATCATACACAAATGGAGTGCAACATTTCAATTCTCTGGTTGTATACTGTATAGAGAGGAACCATTCGTGCAATCATACATGTACCTAGGGTAATGATGTCCATCTCATTCCACCATCTTTCCTTCCTCATTACCCCTCTCAATCCTCCCCTTTGCCCAATCCAAAGTTCCTCCATCCCCCCCCATCATAGATCAGCATCCACTAATCAAATTTAGTTTTTTGGGGGATTTCTACCATTGTTTTGATGTGTGTGGTTTTCAAGGGGCTCACAGAGGTCCTAGGAGGCCTAAATTCCTTTCCAGATATGTTTCTGAGCCTATCATTTGATATCAGTAGACTGACTCTTATTAATATCACAAGGTCTACCTGTACACCTTGCCCATGCTGCTACTTCTCCTGCACAGAAGTGGGGGTTATATTAGTCTCCTCCTATTGCTGTGACAAAACTATCATAAACTTATCTTTCAGTTGTGAAGATTGGAAGTCTAGCCTGGGTTTCAATGAGTGAAGTTTAAGATATTGACAGTGCTATGTTTTTCTGTAGGATGTTGGGAGAGAATCCAATTCCTTATCCTTACCTACATTCTTTTGTAAGTGGTTCCTTCCTTCATCTTTAAAGCCAACAGTGCAGCATTTCCAAATCTCTCTTGGACTCTTTTTGTGTGTGTGTGTTTTTTTTTTTTTGGATCAGGGATTGAATCTATGGGTGCACTACTCTGACATTCTCTTTTTGTTGTATTAGGTATTGAACTCAGGGGTGAGTTACATCTCCACTTCTTTTAACTTTTTATTTTGAGATAGGGTCTACCTAAATTGGCCAGGCAATTCCTCCTGCCTCAGCCTCCTGAGTAAATGGGAGTATAGGTGTACACCACTGTGCCTGGCTGACATTTTCTCTTTTGCTTCCATTTTCCACATATGAAGGACCCTTGGGGTGATCTTGGGCCCAACTGGATAACCCAAGATAATCTCCCCATTTGAAAGTCAGCTCCACATATAATCATAACTCTCCTATTGTCTAAAACCTAACATAGTCATGGGTTCTGAGGATTAGGAAGTAGATACTTCTGGTAGATTATTTTATTTACCACTTACCTACATCATCCAGCCTTCTGAGGTTTGGATGGCTGGCTTGGTACTTTGTCTCCTGTTCTTTACTTGTATTTATGGCTTCTTTTAATCTTTGGATAAAAGAAAATTACAACATTTAAAAAGGAAAATCCCTATAATAGTGTCATTAAGTCTTTTCAAGTTATGTGTGTGTGCTAAAAATCAAATGCTTCTGACCAAAGCAGAAAATTCAGCATTCCCTTTTAGGAGGACAGTTGAAGGCCCCTGCCTTAGAAGCATAGCATTTCATTAGTAGGGTTCTCACTTAGAAAAATGAGTCCTAGGACAAGGTAGATGAAAAGTAGATAAAAATGATAAGTAGATATTTTAGACCAGGGKTCAGCAAATTACAATCTATGGGCCAAATCTGGTCCACTATCTTTTTTTTTTTTTAAATCCCATTATTTAAAATTGTAGTGATTATAAAGGTAACATAAAATCAACTATTTTTGTATAAACACAAACAATGAATGGCCTTTACAGATAATAGCACAATTTTTTTTTCTGGTTAATAGAGCTATATTACCAAAAACCTGCACTCAACTATTACATTTTTATATTTTGAAGTTTGTCACTAAAAATTTGTGGTCATTTATTTTTCTCTTGTCATATAATTCCCCACAAAATATCTCTGATTTTGCTTCCTGTCCCACAAACCCTTGTTTGCTGACTTTGGCTATAGACAGGGACTTTTCTTGGCAACTCACAGACTATCAGCCCATGCCTGACACTATGATGAGTCAGTCCCCAGGAACATGACAGGTGCCTCTATCTGGGAGCTGGTTCCCCCCAATATATTATTCTTCTCCATCTCTGCTAAATGACAGACTGACCATGTTATTTTAAAAAAATTTGGTGAATTATAATGATACATCACGATATAAGTCATTATGCCACATTTGTACAAACACACAACATAATTTGATCGATCTCGTTACCTAGTACCTTTCCTTTCCCTCCCCTTCTCTCTCCCCTGATCCACTTGCCTGACCAATTTTTTTTAAACCAATTATTCTTTTTCTTTAAAATACTTTTTTTTAAAAAGTATTTTTAGTTGTAGATGGACTCAAAACCTTTATTTTGTTTATTTAGTTTTTTTATGTGGTTCTGGGGATTGAACCCAGTGCCTCACATGTAGTAGGCAAATGCTCTACCACTGAACCACAATCCCAGTCCTAAATGCTTTTATTTCATTTATTTATTTTTATGCAGGGCTAAGGATCATACCTAGTGCCTCATATGTGCTAGGCAAGTGCTCTGCCACTGAGCTATAGCTCCAGCCCCCAAACTAGTAATTTTTGGTTTGTGCCCTCCCTCTCTGCATGATACTATTCTGGGTGAACATTCTTGGGATCTTCTTACTTTCCAGGTATCCCAGAAATCTACCTCTTGTCTTAACTCTCTTTACACAAATTATATCAATGCCTCTAAATTCAACTCAGGACTTTGTGTATGCAAGACTAGCACTCTATCACTGAGGGATATCCCAAGTTCCTTTTCTTTTAAATTTTGAGGGTCTTGCTAAACTGCCCAAGAATGCCACTGGGATTACAGACATATACCACCATATCTGGTATGCTAAAATCTTCTTTATGATTTTACAGTATTCTAGCCTAAAAATTTTGAGAAAAATAATCTCTAATTTAAAAATGAAAGTCAATGAGCAAACTGGATTAGATATGCAAAAAGCTGGTTGTCAAAAAGTTATTTTTGGGGGAGCTAGGATGACCGCCTAGTACATGTGTGGCACTGGGCTTTATCCTCAGCACCACTTAAAAAATAAATAAATGAGGGGCTGGGGATGTGGCTCAAGCGGTAGCGCGCTCGCCTGGCATGCGTGCAGCCCGGGTTCGATCCTCAGCACCACCTACAAACAAAGATGTTGTGTCCGCCGAAAAAACTAAAAAATAAATATTAAAAACTTCTCTCTCTCTCCTCTCTCACTTGTGATCTTCCTACCTCAGCCTCCCAATTGCTGAGATTACAGGTGTATGCTATGGCTTTTAATTTTCTATTTATTTATTCATTTTTTTAAGTAAAATCTTTCATTTACAATGCCTTTTATTTTTCACTTCTGGGGATCAAATCCAGGGCCTTGACATGCTAAGCAAGCACTCTACCACTGAGTTACATCCCCAGACTTTAAATTTTTCATTGTATAGTAAATATGAATATGTTCATTGTCTACATTTAAAAGACAAATCTGTAAGAAGAATTAACTCCCCGAAACTCAGCATTCAACCTCTTTAACATACCCAAGAAGGATTGTTACCAAAAACATGCTCATAAGAATACATCAAAAAATAAAGGATCAATCTGGGTGTGGTGGTATAAGCCTGTAATCCCAATAGTTTGGAAGGCTCAGGAGGAGAACTGTAAGTTCAAAGCCAGACTCAGCAAAAACAAGGCACTAAGCAACTTAGTAAGACTCTTTCTCTAAGTAAAATACAAAATAGGGTTGGGGATGTGGCTCAGTGGTTGAGTGCCCCTGAGTTCAATCCCTGGTACACCCCCCAAAAAAATAAAGGATTAGGCTAGGCTCAGTAGTAGAGCACTTGTCCTAGTATGTGTGAGACACTAGGTTTGATCCTCAGTGCCACATAAAAACAAATAAATAAAATAAAGGTATGAGGCTGGGGCTATAAACTTAGCGGCAGAGTGTTTGCCTAGTACATGTGAGGCACTGGGTTTGATTCTCAGTATCTCACACAAAAATAAATAAAAGTATTCTGTCCATCTACAACAACTACAGAAGCATCATAGCCAGGAATGGTGGTGCACACTTGTAATCCCAGTGATTTGGGAGGCTGAGTAAATTCAAGATGATGAAATCCAGGAAGTGCCTGGAGGGAAGGGACAGTGAGCCCTGTGCTATGGCTTTTTAAAAGCAGAAATTCACATTTATACTAATCTTCTCATGAATATTCTCAAAATACTAGGGTCAATTGGGTGTGGTGTTATATACCTGTAATTCCAGGGACTCTAGAGGCTGAGACAGGAGGATTCCAAAGTTTGAGGCCAGCCCCAGCAATTTAGTAAGACCCTGTCTCAAAAAATAAAAATAAAAAGGGCTGGGGATATAGCTCAGAGCTAGAGTACCCCTGGATTTAATTCTCAGTACAGCAAAAGAAAAGAAAATAGCCAAGTATTAGGGTCATGAGGAAGTATGCAGAATTTACAGACTACATGCCAATCAAATGAATGTCCTTAGCAGAGGAGAAAGATTTGTTTCAACAATCTCTCCTCATGAGTAACTTATAGGCTTCCTGGATCCCTTGAAGGTACTGATAAGACCTGAAAGTCTTCACTATTGGGAGCAAACCTACTTCTGCTACTTTATATCTGTAAGCTGTTCTTACCTGCTGTTCTGCTGGGGAGCAAGAGTACCATTCTGTTCAGATGGGGTCTCCGTTGGTTTGGCTTTGAAGTAATTGACGAGCCCCCCAAACACACTCTTAATGCTGTTGATGTGTTTCTGGCTAGTCTTCAAATCTTGATCCATTTTGTCCACCATCTTTTCTGTGTGTTCTAGGACTCCTCGCTGTCGAACTAGTTCCTGGGGAAAATGAGAGGCAGCAGCTTTATGTCCTTTTATAATTCCTTCTTCTTGGACCACACACAGCAGGCCCTTCATAACCTTAGCAAGCATATGCAGGGACTGATTTGTAGAAGGCGCACTATCCCTTTTGACAACACATTTCTTTGTTCTTCCCTGTCTATCCTATCTTTACTTCTTTTCTTTTCTCTTGAATCCCTTTGCCCCAGAGGTGGGAGTACAGGATCACACTGAGATAAATGGGGATATGCCTTTCGGGGGTCAGAGTCCAGGGACTGTGCTGGCTGCAGATGCTCTTTAGTGCCCCCAGCCGTCATAATGCTTATAGGCTTGGACCTGGCATGGCCCCCCTAGACTCTAGTAGAACTTCTCCTTCCAACAGCCTTCTTCTTTCCACCTGCTGTGGTTCTCCTTAAAGCATGCACAATTCTTGAAGAAGGACTTGCTTTGTTCACTGCCTTGTCTCCAGTGCCTAACTCAGTAGCTGCTTGCTATAATTTGCCAAATTGATACATGAATGATATTCTGCAGCTGTGGTGATAGCCTTGACCATAACCCTCTAAGCTGATGGTTCTGGCTGAGGACAGGAACTCACCAGAACACTACTAATACTCTTCTTCATGTGTAACAAACTTGTTTCGGTCCCTATTTATTCATATTGCAGTGTTGAGAGTTGAACTCAAATCCTCATCCATGCTAGGAAAGTGCTCTACCATTGATCTATATTCCTAGCCCTTTACTTCCTGTTTTAGGATTTATGTGCAGCTATACCAACTGTGTTCCCTGGGAGCTGCACCTCCAGCCAGAAGACTCTCAAGCTTTTCATTTTCCCCATTCATAAGACAGCTGCTGTTTTCAGCTCCCCTCCTTTGAATCTTCTCTCTCTATTGACCTTCTTTTAGCTTAGCAATTATATTAACTATGAAAATGTTACACAGAGCTAATTTTTTTGATACCCAAACAAAGTCCTGAACAATTCTTAAACATATTTGAAATGTGAATGACAGAGCTGAAAATATGTAGTTGTGAGGATTAATACGTGAGGATTAAACCAACCGTGAAGATATTTGGAAAAATGTCTGTAACTGAACRTGTATCTAAATTTTCTTCTTGTCATTATTTCCATTTTCCCCCCTTTGATATCGGGATTGAACTTATAGGTACTCTACCACTGATCTACATCCTTAGCCCTTTTTATTTTGAGACAAGTCTTGCTAAATTGCTGAGGCTGGTTTTGAACTTGTGATCCTCCTGCTTTAGTCACCCAATTCATAGGGATTACAGGCCTGTACCACCATGCCCAGCTCCCCAGCCCTTTCAACTCTTTATTTTGAGATAGGGTCTCTAAGTTGGTGAGGCTGGCCTCAAACTTGAGATCCTCCTGCTTCAGTTTTCCAAGTAGGTGGGATTACAGTATGTGCAAACATGCTCTATTTGTCATTATTTCCTAAATAAAACAGCATAAGAACTGTGAACACARTATTTACATTAGTAAGTAATCTAAAGATGACTTAAAATATATAGGAAACCAGGTGTGGAGCTATACTACTATAATCTCAGTGGTTTGGGAGGCAGAGACAGGAGGATTGCAAGTTTGAGGCCAGCCTTAGCAATTTAGTGAGGCTCTAAGCAATGTCTCAAAATAAAAAATAAAAAGGGCCAGGGATATGGCTTAATGGTTTAGTGTTCCTGGTACCTTAAAACACACACACACACACACAGCCCTCTTTTTTAAAAAAATATATTTATTTATTTTTATGTGGTGCTGAGGATCAAACCCAGTGCCTTACATATGTGGGCAAGCACTCTACTGCTGAGTTACAGCCCCAGCCCCTAGCCCTCTTTGAGTTAGGGTCTCACTAAGCTGCTGAGGCTGGCCTCAAACTTTGAATCCTCTAGCTTTAGCCTCCCAATGTGCTGGGATCACCACTGTGTGCCGTTGAGCCTGGCTTATTTTTACTTTGAACCGCATCCCCAGCCCTTTATATTTTTGCAGACAGGGTCTTGCTAAGTTCTTTAGGGCCTTGCTAAATTGCTGAGGCTGGACTCACAACTTGTGATCCTCCTGCCTCAGCCTCCTGAGTTGCTTGGATTATAGGCATGGGCCACAGCATTTGGTTATACCATTAAAAAAAAATACCTTTATTTTATTTATTTATTTTTATGTGTGCTGAGGATCGAACCCAGTGCCTCACACATGTTAGGCAAGTGCTCTACCACTGAGCCACAACCGCAGTCCTGGCTATGCCATTTTGAAGGGATTTGGGAAACCAAGGAGCTTGGTATTTTTATGTGTGTGCATGTGTGCATGCGTGTGTAGTCTTAGAACCATTCTCTGCAGATACTGAAAGATGACTAGATGAAATTTTTGGAAGCTTACTGCAGATATAAAGGTATCAGTTGAAGGCCTTTTGCATATTTAGAAATCCAATATCTAGCATGAGTTTTTATTTAGTAGAATTTAAAACTACAATGTGTAAGGGCTGGGGACGTACCCAGTGACTGGGTTCTTGTCTAGCATGCTTTAGGCTTCAGGTTTGATTGCCAGTAACAAGGAAAAAGAAAATGGATTCAAGTGAACCTCTTACCTCAGCCTCCTGAGTAGCTGGGACTACTGTGTGTACCACTGTGTTGGGTTAAACTTTAAAGTTTTGAATGTTAATTTATTAATTTATTTTTACCAGCTCAAGAAATATTTCCTTTAGTATGCCAAGCAAATCTTACAAGGGCTAATTTTTAGAAGGGAAAAAAATGAGCTGCTAATTTGTCTGGAATTTCTTCAAATATCTCAAGTTATCATTTTCATAACCAAACTGAGGATGTCTGTTCTGCAACAAGGCATGACTAAGCTATAAATTAGAATTAAAATTATATTCTCTAGGTGGGTACAGTGGAACATGCCTGCAATCCCAGCCACTCAGTAGGCTGAAAACAGGAGGACAGCAAGCTCAAGGCCAGCAAGATCCCGTAAAAATAAAAAGGGCTGGGGATGTTAACTTAGTGGCAGAGCAACCCTGGGTTCAATCCTTAATAAAACAAAAAACAAACAAAAATGTTCTCTAGCATTCTTTTTTTTTTTTTTTTTTTGGTACCAGGTTTTGAACCCAAGGCTGCTTAACCACTGAGCATCTCCAACTCCTCCCACCCCTGCCAATTTTTAGATTTTGAGACATGGGTCTCATTAAGTTGCTGAAGTTGCTTAGGGCCTCACTAAGTTGCTGAGGCTGGATTTGAACTTTACGATCCTTCTGCCTCAGTCTCCCAAACCACTGTGATTACAAGGCATGTGCCACCATGCCCAGCCCATGCATTAATATTCAGCTTAAAAAAATTTTTTTTAGGGGCTGGGGATGTGGCTCAAGCGGTAGCGCGCTCGCCTGGCATGCGAGCGGCCCAGGTTCGATCCTCAGCACCACATACCAACAAGATGTTGTGTCCGCCGAGAACTAAAAAAAATAAATAAATATTAAAAAATTCTCTCTCTCTCTCTCTCTCCTCACTCTCTCTTTAAAAAAAAAAATAATTTTTTTTTTAGTTGTAGATGGACACAATATCTTTATTTATTTGTTTCTATGTGGTGCTGAGGATTGAACCCTGTGCCTCAAACATATGAGGCAGGCGTTCTACCACTGAGCTTCAGCCCCAGCCCAATATTGAGTTTTTAATTTATATCTTTTTAAGAAAATTTTTAATATTTATTTTTTAGTTTTCGGCGGACACAACATCTTTGTTTGTAAGTGGTGCTGAGGATTAAACCCGAGCTGCACGCATGCCAGGCGAGCGTGCTACCACTTGAGCCACATCCCCAGCCCCTTAATATCTTTATTTATCTATTATGTTTGTGTATATATATTCAATTCATGTATATATATTCATGTGCATGCTAGACAAGTGCTCTATTACTGCGCTGCATTCTAGCCCGTGAGATTATATATTTCTAATAGTTCAATAGCCACTTATTTTGTAGGATGCAGAAAACAGATGAATTTGAAGCTGCTATAGATGCTCWGAGTTGGCAGTTAAAGGGTGGGCAACGCTCTGCTGTTATACTGGAAAGGAAGTTCCTGGTTTCTTTACAGTGACCTCTTCCAATTGTGGCGTATCTCACTCACCTTCCTGCCTCAGACTCCCCATCTCCATTTAGAGAGTTGCAAGGGTAAGAAGTAGTTGATAGCTGCGTGCAGTGGCTCACACCTGTAATCTCAGCAACTTGGGAGGCTGAGGCAGGAGGATTTCAAGTTCAAAGCTAAATTGCTCAGCAATTTAGCAAGGCCCTTAGCAACTGAGTAAGACCTTGTCTTAAAATAAAAAATAAAAAGAACTGGGATGTGGCTCAGTGGTTAAGCACACCTTGGTTCAATTCTGAGTACCAAAAAAAAAAAAAAAAAAGTAGGTGACAAAACCTTCCCCAATTTGTAATGAGATCTCATTTTCTTCTGCTTGTGAATGACATAGTCTCTCTGATTCTCAGGTCTCTCTGCTGACCTGGTGAGGAAACAAGATATCTTATGTAGATATTATGATGGAAGCACAGAGAATTATGTAGCGGCGGCTTGTCCTGCATGTGAGGCTAGGGCCAATGGACAGAGTGTTGCTTTGGTCACTCAAAAAGTTTCTGGGTGCTGGAACTTGCAGTTTACTAGAGGTTATCAGACCAGAAGAGGTAGAGGGGCTTTTGCTAAAATCCTCCCCCAGAAGGTAGGGAAAATGACTAAACTCAACACGCCTGTGACCTAGTTCCAACCAACAAGGAAGAAGGGCTTGGGAGAGCAAAGAGCACGGGAGCACTGTTGGTCTATAAAGACGGGCTGGTCAGGCCCCTGAACCCTGCCATTTTGAAGACAGGCCTCAAATGCTTCAGATCCCAAGGATACTTGCATGGCTTAATACTTTAAATCTTCCCCCAGAATTGTGGCCATGTAACAGCTTCTGTCTCTGAGAGAATCAGAATGCCAAAGAGAGCAGGGTGGATGCGAGGGGAGTGAGGTCTGGAAAATACC